CTTATGGCCTGAAGTTGCCGATAGGAAGCCACCCGCAACAGTTTGTTGTCCTAGCCAGGTGGCTGCAACCAACTGATGAATGTAATGATATGAATCTAAACTAGTACTTGACTTTGATCTTTGTTTGATTAATATATATATATATGTATGTATATAATATATATGAGATGGGCCAACCACTCCAACCTCCAATCACCAAAAGGCTTCTGTCAATCAGGCTTGAATATTGAACAGCCAAATCTTGCAACAGGACTAGCTACCAAGTCAGACAGTCCTGGGCCAGCTGTTCCAATTTTCCCGTGAGTTCCATCTCATTTGGACTCACTTGCGTAAGAGGAAGAAGTGCTTGGAGGTTGCAGAATGACGCTGAGTCACTCTGATGGCTATATGCAATGGAAAGCAAAACTTCACGGCCGGCATGGCAACTTCCATCGCTAATCAAGTTCAAGTGGTTGCAACCTGCGAAGGACATTGCAGCTCTGTCGTCGTAGATGGTTTGGGCACGCCTAACCCACGGATCTACTGCCTTGGGTTTGCATCCAGCCATCGCTGAGACCCTCTCCCCCTGTAAGAAAATCAACGCCGCCTTCATTGAAACACTTGTGTCTCGGGCCTGAGAAAAGATTTCATAGATGGCATCTGGCGTCATACGGACCTTTGTCGATGGTGCTGGCACGACTTGGCCCATCGGGACATCATTGTCCCCGGAGCTACGGATCCGTCTGGCCGGAGCTGGTCGGGCAGTGTCATGCTGTTGCATGTGTTGACTCTTCACATACAGATCAATTTTCTGGGCCATGAAGTTCACTAGGGCCTTCTGAAACTTGAAGAGGCTTGACCCAGGAAACACTGCTTGCAGCCCACACATGGCTACCTGCTGATCTCCGCCTCCTGTCCACTTAAAAAGCAAAGAGGACCAGCTCCTGCAATGATACCGCAGAATCTGCCTCGCCCACCAATTCATCATTCAAAACGCCGGCGGCACACATTGACTGCCATTCTTTCTGCCATGCCAGGAAGCAAGTTCGGTGTCTGGATGTCAATGTGTTCTCGATCCCTTTGATCAAACCCGCAGGAGAAAGCACCAATGCAGGCATATCTTCAATGTCAATGCTCACAGAACATGACAACGTAGAGCACACTCGGCCACAAAGCGGAGCAATCCAATCTTTGATCAGTTGCACGGTCTTGGGCGTTCTGGATTCCTTCAGTGAGAAAAATAAAAATGCCAAAATGGCTGCTGTTGTAGCCACGTTCTCACGCAAAGCATTCTGCGGGAGACTGACTTGCTTCGTCTGGCAAAAGAATTCTTCATTGCAAAACTCAGTAAATTCCGCTTTTTGCTTCAAGAACTGCACCCACTTGTAGAGTGTCCTTTTTTCAGCACCATGTGCCTTGAATTTGTCATAGAGAAAGTCTAATGACCACCACAGCTCATCATGGCTCACACCTTCTCGTGAAACGAGAAAAGCACCTTTGGATAGAAGCTCCTTGTCAGCATCTAATGTCACTGGCCGACATTGCTCGTGCAGAAGCATACATCATATGGCGAGACACTGAAACCGAAGATATGTCATGAGCTGTCCATTGTCAATTGTCATCATTGTCCATGTGCATGCTCGAAAAAAGGCTATGACATACAAACCTTGAGTGCAATTGTCCATGTTACTATACGCTGACCGGGTGGCAGGACATTCCATAAGGTCAAACAGGTGACCACATAACTGCAAACAGTTGTGTCATGACATATCATGACTTTGATCCACTGGATTTCACGCCAGCATCAAAATGGTTCATTGACAGGTCACACCCAAGTCAAACCTCAAACAAACATCGACCAGGCAACTGACAACTGTTTCAAGGTTGACTATGGTCTTCCTCTGAGGGGGAAACTTTGACCAACCACTGTAGCAGTCGGAGAACCTGACAAAATCAAGACGCTCGAAGTCAGACAGAGTTCTTTTTTTTTTTACGTGCGTGTGGTTGATCACTACTCACCCACCACTGATTGCACCATTTGTTCCAAATTACAAAATGACAAGCTGACTGGTCACGAAGGTGATGGGAAAAAACAAAGAAGCCGCCCCAACAACAACAGCAACAAAGCAAGTCAAAAAAAAGTCATATGACAATGACTGCCAAATTTCAAAATGACTTTTTTGGCAGTGTGCAAAAGCCTTCCGCCTGGACATGACCGATCGAAGGTTCCAAGCCACACATCATGAAAAGGCCTTGGTATGTAGAATGCAGTCTGAAACTTGCATTTAAAAACCCTGCAATGACCTACACAAACTGGCTGGATGCTGAAGTTGGCTTTCACAAGGCAGGACTGTGAGCGCAGGGCATTTCACTCATTTTTTAACACTTGAATGACTGAATGAACCAGCTCCTGTCAGGCTGAATTGAATTGAATTTCGTACTCATCAATGACATGTCAGTCATCGACAGTGCATATGAAATAATTAATGCCGCTGCAGTGCCGGTGTGAAAAACACACGCTCTGCACTGGGCAAATGCTCAGTCAGTTTTGACCCAGATAAGCAGTAACGACACAGCGGCCAAACTGCATCGTGTACTCCTGAGATTCAACCAGGAGCTCATGCCGGCCAGTGAAGCTTCCATCATCATTTTTCTTGGCCAGCGCTGAAGCTTCCATCGATGGAACCGAGGGCCTGGACCTTGCCAATTCAGACACGAAATCGCAGTGGCTCCAAAGCTGGAGCGGTTTCAAGGTTGGGCCACCGAAGCAGTAGTGATAGGTGTCTGTTTTGAAGTAGCCACCAAACCGTAAGACTGCATTGACAATAGGAGTTTCTGGAAGACAGCTACTTGAAGGCTGTTCCATGCCATCTTCCAGTCCAAGAAGAACTCCCAGTAGCAAGGCAAGACCAGAAATGTCGGCCAAGACATTGCCTCGTTGCACACAAAACCGTTCTGTGCTGCCCATGTACAAATTCGTCAAATTTCTTTGGCACACCGAAGAAGATAGTATCACAAAGGATGAGCACGGTGTTGCAACCCACGGCAGTGCTCTTGGGACCGCTGCGGTGATTGCAAGAAGAAGCATTCTCAATCCATCACTTGTCAGGACATCATGCTGCGGATTGACGCATATGTCCAAGGACACACCCAACAGCCCAGCAGCAATGCAGGCTCGGGAGAGATTTCCCTTTCCACAGAATACTTCCACGTACTGCAAAACTGCAGCCCCACGCTGTCGATGGTAGTGACATCGCATCAGCAAAGCAAGGAGCATTGATTGGAGCGACCATCCCACCATGAACGGAAAGACCAGTGTCAAGTATTCTGGCCACACTTGTTGTGCTCTGCCCCCAGTCTGTGTATCACATGTCATGAACATGTTGATGTCAATCTCCCATTTTTCCTTCATCTCATCGTCACATCCACAAATACATCCCGACTCATCAATGGGAAAGTCTTCCACCTCAGCCAGGGTTGACACAGTTAAGCCACGGCTGGTGGCTTTGAATTTGTCTTCAATGGCTTGTTCCCGTTGTTGGATGATGCGAACTTGCTGCTCCAACTGCAGCAGCCCTGTGCCAGCTGCCATTGCCGCAATCTTTGGACGCCAAGTCTTTTCTATACCCTGTCAGTCATTGTTCTGTCATTCTATGCAATGTATGCCTTATCTTGTATGAACGTATGACTTGTCATTGCAATGTACGCTCTGTCTGTGACATTGCCTCTTACTATTACATTGTGTTTGCTCATAGTCTGTCTCCATTTGGCCTGAATGAGCCACAATGAGACAAAATGATCCCAAATGAGGCCCAATGAGCCACCATGAGACAAAATGAGACAAAAAAGTGCCAAAATGAGACAAAATGAGACAAAAACCTGCCAAAAAGTGCAAAAATGAGGAAAACTTTGCCGGCACAAGTGCAAGAATATGCACTTTTCATCTGCTGCTAATGCAGTAGCCATCAAATTAATTGACTACCTGTGCCAATGACAGGGCTTCAAGCGACCATGGCCCATCTCTCATGATTGTGTGCAAGCACAGCTCTACGCCGAGGTGTCAAACTGCTATTCCGAGTGGGCTTGTACCAGGCACCATTTTGCAAATGAGAAGGTACATTCAAAAGACTGAATCTGTCCACTACTGCCCTACATGTCCACTCATGCCCCCTCACCTCCTTCAGCTGTTGCGCCACACATCATCATGTTAAAGATTTGAAGCCATACAGGGTCGTCTTTCACAAAACAATTTCCGGCTCAGCAGGATCACTGGGCGTCTGACGATCTGCCGTGACACCATCGCCAGTCTCCAGTGCCATCGCCTGTGCAGCTTCCCTCACATCACAGCGGAAAGGACACCATCCAATCTCATGCCCACCCACACGCCACGTCTCTTCAAGGCAGCTTCGGTGCCACGGATGACCACATTGCAGCGTCTGGATTTCAAGCCCAGCACCACGCAGGGGCTCATGACAAATGACACAAGTGGGAGGCTCTTGACCATTCACAACAACTTCATCACCTGCATGGCCTTCGCCATGATCAGAAGCATCATCAACTCCATGGCCTTGTCCATCAGTAGCATCAGCAGCAGGAGCAATCTGATTCGCCTCCATCTCCACATTCTCCATCTGATCCGGCAGCGCATCCTGACAAAACCAATGCAGCACAAGTGTGAATGGTAAGTATGCATTTATTACATGTCTTGGTGTCACAATATTCACCTTGGACCTTGAAGAAAACACCTTTCGCATCTTACACTATAATTATGTTTTGTATCTCATAGACTTGAAGTAACTATACTCAAACTGTATATATACATATTTCATCTTATCTACCTCAACATGACGTGGTTTGCACAAGTCTCACGCAACATTCACATGATTCTTTGAAGATAACCATGTCTTCGCTTCTCAAAACAATATGTCAATGACCATGCAAGCCAAGAAACTGAAACGGCAGCTGCAGGCTGTGGCGGCGCCGGCAGATGCACAGGGGCCTGTGGACTTGCGCTGGCCACTGGGGGTCGGATAGCAACCTTCGGCACAGCAACTGGTCGCGGCGCATTGACAGCCGGCGCAATCATCTGCACAGCAGCATGAGGAGCCTGAGGGCTTCCAGCAGCAACAACACCAACTTGATGACCGGGTCGCGGAGGCGGAGGAGGGCGCACTTGACCTCCAACTTGAACTGGAACAGGGCTTGGCAGCGGAGCAGCTGGACCAGCATTTGCACCTTGTGCCACTTGACTTGCAGCCTTCATCATCTCTGGGATTCTTTGAGACTGCATGGCATCACGCTGCGCATCAGCTGCAACCGCTTTGGGGCCACGCCCGCGGCTCTTTGGCTCTTGAACAGTCATCCATTCATCCGACCAACCCTGAGCTTCTGCCAATGCACCGACAAAGCCAGCAGTCAGGATGACCTCAGCCTTGATTGCCTGCAGAGCAGCTTGAACCTCTGTACACGACTGCGCAATCACCAAGTGGCGCTGGTGGAGACGTGTGTTCAGCTCCCCATAGTCTTCACAGCGAAGTCTGGACACACATACCTGCGGTTTCTGCTTCGTAAGCAGCCACACCATTCGACACAATCCAGACTGACTCAAGTCACTGGTGACGGTCGGGTCAAGCTGCCCATCCAAAGCTTCAACCAGCTCCGACAGACGCTTCTGCAGGGTTGGATGAATGAATGATGTCTAGTAGATATGCGAATACAAAAACTTGTCAAAGCATCAATGAACACGCAAGGAATACAAATTAAAACGATCGTAAGTGTTGAATTTTGGAACCTGATCTAAATTTAACTGTATGATGTTGTTGTTGTTGTTGTCGTCGTCGTCGTCGTCGTCGTCGTCGTCATTGGCTGTTATCATCCCCAGTCCAGTGTCCTTGGGAAGATTGCGAATTATCGCAGCACCTCTGTGAATCTTCTTGTCAGCTCCCACTGAACTGAACAAGTAAGCTCGGCGATCCCGCAAAGCCTGAAGCGCATAGGCCTGGGCATTCTGGGCAGTCACATCTGCAGCCTGGTGTGGCAGCTGCGAAGGTCCATCTTGCAAAGGGGCTGGAAGAGCTGCGGCCTGGCTGCTGGCTTTGGCCACAGCAACAGACCCAGAAGCTCGACGATCATCATGGTCATCAGACGATGAGTCCGACTCAACCTGCTGATGCGGAGGTGGAGCCATCATTGCACTGGCCAACTGTTGCAGGAGCAACGGGTTCATAGCAGCCATCGGGTTCATCATCATCATATTGGCTGGCATAGTCATACTGCGGGCCTTCTTCGACTTGTGCTGGTTACGGCCCATCTCGCTACAACAGACTTACAGCAACTGACTGTCAGTCACTTCAAGCCGCAGAGGGTACTGAACTGGAAGCCAAAGGCTCAGATAGTATGACATTGACAGGGAGCCGCTGACACTGATTTGATTCGTTTCAACGAACAAACCATTATTCAAAAAAAAGGCACCCCTGGAAAAAACATTGACATGCCATTGACAAACATCGCAGATGAAAGCACAAGGGGCAACACCAATGCCAAAGCTATCACATTGACA